GAAAGTAGGCCTACAGTGCAGGATTTGTTACCAGGTTGTGTTGGCACCACACGCTAACACAACCAATCTCTTTAATCATCTGAAATACAACCACAAAGTGCAATACGACCAGGCAATAATACAACAAAAAGCAGACCAAAAAGCAGATGCCGCTCGACTTCATCCACCACATCATCACAGTCATCGATTCTGGACGCATTGTACAGAGCAACGGCCTACGCGACGAGCTCGCAGAGACAGAGATATTACAGGTGCCATTACATTTCACATCGCTAAAGATATGTGCCCAGTTAGCACTGTTAGCAACGAGGGCTTTAAGCAACTTGTCAACACGTTGGACAAGCGTTACGCGATGCCGTCTCGGTATTATTTCAGCAGGTATTATGTGACAAATGCCGTGGGGAAGTTGAGAGAGATGTGGCTTCAGCTGACTACTTTGCCACCACAACGGACCTATGGTCTAGCCCAGGGGGGTACCAGTCGATCGCGAGATGTGTCTAAAAATAGAACAACAATATTCTGTTTTATCGTTAATGTCCTGTAACATAATCTTCCTGTGACAGAATAATGCACTTGAACGCATCAAAGCTTTGTGATTGGCCGGCGTCACCCCTGTGTCGGGGCGTGGCTGAGGGTATTCAGTACAGGTGGCAATATCGTCACCTGCCTGCGCTCATCTCTGAAACCAGAGTCAGACCATGTAAACAGGCTGGTGTTTCTTGCAAACAAATCTTTAAGAGATGACATGAGCAGCCCTACCAGCATTTGCCATGGTGGCCTAGACATTTTTATTTGGTCTTAAATTATAGTTCAACATTTATTTCCTGTTACTTTTGGACCATGACGGTTGGCCAGCCTTCAACGTTTAACTGAGTGGAATATGTTGAATATGTTTTACCAAAATATTGGCTATATGTTAAGGAGTGTTCAGTAGGTTGTGACAGTGCACTGCAACATGTTTGATTTCATTTATTTTGGTCTAATTTATTTTTATTTATCATATTAATAATGTATGTTTAGTATGGTTTTGGAAGTGCGCTCCAACATATTTGTTGATCTTGTTTATTGGTCAAATATTATTTGTTTTAAAGTTCAATAAATGGTCAATGAATAATCGTCAAAATAATCGTGATATCAATTATTGACCCAAATAATCGTGATTATGATTTTTGCAATAATCGCACAGCCCTAATTTGTAGCTTCTATTGAGGTTTTGGAATGAAGCCTAAAATGCCTGTTGTCGTAGTTAATGAAGACTTAACCCTTAAAAAAAACGGTGGTTATGTTAATGTATTTATTGTGCTGTTAGATTGCTGCTAGACGGCCCCTTAACACACATGTGCGGTCCTCCCTTTTCTTGAGGCAAGCATGAGAGCATGAGTAATTGTATTGTAAAGGCTAACGAAACACATACTGTATGGACAGAAGCAGAGTCATTTTGTTTGATAAAACTATGTTTGTGAAATTGTAAAAGTCTATATTTTTCAATACATTATGACTTTGGGACTATAACACTCTGGAGTTATAAGAAATGTATGGCTTAAGGGGTGTAAACATCCTATGCGAACATTACTGAAGTCAGTGTATTATAGGAATAATTTCAGCTTAATCTGCAACCGAACAGAAATACAGGGTTTAAACTTAATGAATAGAAATGCAACTATTTAGTACAGCTCTATATTGTAGATTTGTTTTCAAAGTAAATGTTCTTTGCAGGTCAATTTCTCCTCAGCTGTAGGTCCATCAGTAGGTGAACAGAATATGTGGATGCAGTATTATAGCATGCACTGTTTCCTTGGACCGCTGGTGTTTGTGTGTGAGTGAAGCTGAAGGGAACAGCAGAGCAGCCTCGCCTGTGACGCCTGACACCCATCAACGTCTCCCTGTTACATTTCTATGACATGCTCTGTCTCAGGAAGAGCAGCCCCAGATCAGCAACGGGAGAGAGGGGAGACGGGAGGATGTGGGGTGGACAGGTATCGGTGGGGTGGAAGTCAACAGGAGGGCTAAAGCACGACTGAAGGGTACAAGAAAAGCCTTTTTTTCCCTGAGTGATTCAAGGCAAAGTTGGTGAAAGTGTCTGCGATTGTGCACGCTCAAAAATGTCACCGTTCAGAACTTTTGAGTAGAATAGTAACATGCAAGGCTGTGTTTGCTGAATTTGCACATTGTCTATGTATCATGGCTGTACAATTATTGAATTACATTTTTTGTGTATTTTCCTGCACTGATCCAGAGCGAGAAGGGGTTGCAGGCAAGAGTAGACTTGTTAGCAAATATGTCTGTGCCCTCTTGCCTCTCTTTTATACATTCAGCCACATGCACCATATATTCCCAGTGGTAAAGTAGGTCAACCCTTATGGTAGTTATTAATGACTGAGACGTGAGGAAAGAAACTCACAGGAAAGCCTGATAATGCACCAAAACTATTTAATACACATTGCTGATTACAGTAATAATCTCTGATGATCACATCCTCTGGCATTATGTGAAATAACTTTTTCCTCTTTCCGTCTTATTATTTAAATTCAGAGGAAAAAAGAGATTAACGCCCTCCAGCCTGGCGCTTGGCTAATTTGCAGGATAAATGAAACAACGTGTTTTCAAAAAAGCCACAAGAAAAGAAATGTTCAAAGTTTGTTGTCGTTGCATGTTTAACTGAAACATGTGCCTTTTGGCTGGGCTTCTCAGGCTCTTTGTCTTCTATCAGAGCGGGTGTTTGGGGTGAGGGGAGGGGATCTACTGAGGTTTACTGAGGTTTACTTCTCTAAAAGACTAATGTCACAGCAGGATTTGGAAAAACTTGTCCATGCTTTTATCTTCAGTAGACTCGACTACTGCAATGGTGTCTTCACAGGTCTCACTAAAAAATCTATTAGGAAGCTGCAGCTAATTCAGAACGCCGCTGCTCGAGTCCTCACTAACACTAAGAAAGTGGATCACATCACTCCAGTTCTGAAGTCTTTACACTGGCTTCCTGTGTGTCAAAGAATAGATTTCAAAATACTGCTGCTGGTTTATAAAGCACTGAATGGTTTAGGCCCAAAATACATTTCTGACCTCCTGCTAAATTATGAACCATCCAGATCTCTCAGGTCTTCAGGGACTGGTCAGCTTTCTGTCCCCAGAGTCAGAACTAAACATGGAGAAGCAGCGTTCAGTTATTATGCTCCAAATATCTGGAACAAACTCCCAGAAACCTGCAGGTCCGCTGCAACTCTGACTACTTTTAAATCCAGGCTGAAGACTTTTCTTTTTGTCGCTGCTTTTAATTGAACTATTCATATCTTAGACTGCACTGTAACTTTTATCCATGTATTTTTTCTTTTAATGTTTATTTTATTAGCTTTTCTTCTTAATGACTGATTTTAAATGCCATTTTCTTAATCTCTTTCATTTTTTGTAAAGCACTTTGAATTGCCTTGTGTTGAAAAGTGCTATATAAATAAACTTGCCTTGCCTTGCCTTGGTGCAGGCTAAATCTAACCATACGAGACCCCACTGCCTCTGCGGGGAGCCACTTTGACCCACTCCTCCATCCTTCGGTTTGATCCTGATATTCTTTCCACCCTAACAGATACAGCTCTGCACAAGTGTACATAATCACACACAAATGCATAATCACCAAACAATGAGGGAGAGATAATTGCAAGATCATTTTAATACCATAGCACGATTGAACATGTAACACGTGATTTTCTCTTTATCAAATCTCATATCTTATGACTGCAGTATTTTTAACACTTAGAATTTACCACCTAAGAATATCTAGAGCTTGGCGATATTGAGCATCTGTTTTTGATCAAAAACCTCAATATCTAGGTGTAAAGTTAAATAGTGGTGGTTTAATGAAGTGTATCCCACAAATCTGAAATATACTTGTGGTGGTAGCCGGGGGGTGTTCTGATGCACACACACTGCTCTGAAAAAAAACTATGTTTACGTCGTCTTCTCTGTTTCTCGTAAGGTCTCCTTTTCTGTTGGTCGCTTGATAGCAGATCCTTCACGCGATAGCAGAGCGAACAGGTACAGGAGGCGTACAGCGAGGGATCATTGTCCACTAGTTAATCGATCGCAGATGGCGTCGTGCTCGCGGACGGATAAAACAAACTAAATGGGTCGCGAAATATACTTTGGCGGCCGTTAATATACCAGGGCGGCCCGCCCAAGTAAAGTCTATGTGTGGGAAACCCTGGTATATATACAATGATATTCAAAATAACATCACTTTACTGTAAGAAAGCATTTAAAACGAAGAAAAAGACAACACATATCACAATAACCAAATCTAAGACGATATTTTTTCTCATAACACATTATCAATAAAATATTAATATATTGACATGTCCAAGTATATTTGGCAACCCATCTAGCTTTAAATGTATTTAGTTATTTTACCTGTCTGAAAATACTGCAGCATCCACGATCAAGTAACAAGTGGGAGCACCAATTAGCTTTGGGCATTGCTGCCATCAGCTGCCGGGATGGATCTATGGCGGGACAACATGCTGCTCTACCGCACAGCGAATGTTCCCACTGTAACGTACTGGGTGCCGCGAGCTGCGCCATTCCTCTGTCTGACAGGCTTCTTGTGACACATCTCACACACACACTGTTCATTCCCATCCAGAGCCCGCAGTCATTGGCCCTAGAACACTGGACAACTTTCTGTTGATAACACCTAACAGAAATGCAGAGCTTTGCCCCCCAAAAACGGTCATTCAATGCTATCGCTTCAAAAGTGTGAGTCAGAGTGGGTCTGATCAATGCTGGCGGTATCCCCTAGAGAACAGACACATGGAAAAGTTGAAGCCAGGCCTTTAAAAGGCTGAGCTATTGATTGAATTGCTCTCCAAAGTGTTTTTCATCTCTGGGACTATACAAGGAGAATGCCGGCTGGTGTGCAGCAGGGTGCAGATGGCATGGTTGACCACCATAGAGAGGAAAGAGAGAGTGAGAAAAGAAAGGGAGGAGAGAAGGATGGAGAGACAGACACTTACCCCTGGAAGTGTTTTCTGTTCGTGGAGGGCGTTCTGGGCTTTGATGGCCGACTCTCGGGCGCAATAGGTGAGGAATGCACAACCTGCAACAGAGGTACACCACATATACATGTATAAGTCACACAGAACTCAACAACATAGTTAAACAAACAAAAACTGTGGACAACAGGGAACAGTTTTAAAGAAATCCCAACAAGAATATATGGACTGTAATACAATTCCAAAGCTATTGGAAAATAAGAAAATGGTGTTTGGCCTGTTTCAATATAATGAGATCCAGATACTGAGCAATTAACACAATTAAGAAACTAGTTCTGCGGAGAGGCTCTATTGAGTTAGTGAAAACACAAAAACTAACATTTCTTGGAATAAACAGAGCAAGTTAATGAAAACAGGCAACCGTGCAATACCCCAGGATATATGTGGACATTTTCTCCAGGTGGCAAAGAGGAGAGGAGCAAAAAACAACACCACAATAATAAAGTAGGAGATGAGCTGTGAATTATTTGGATGAAATGCCCGGCCTGTCCAGCCTCCCCATCCCTCGTGCTATGTCCTGTCAAAAGCTCCTAGCAGCCTGGCCAGCGCTCCCACCCTGAATGGTTGTGACAGCAGCGGAGACAAAAGAACCAGGACTGCAGGACTGAGTATTGGGGGGTAGAAAAAGAGAGAAGAAGGGATATGTAGAGATACAGGAAGGAGGGAGATACTGACAGAGAAGATGGGAGGACAGGACGTGGTGTTAAAACTCTCCAGGGTGAATGCTTCCATGCGTGCACACACACACACACACCACATCTGTCAAAATCACTGAATACATAAAGAAGAGAAGAGGAGAAGAGAAAAAAGATGGAGAGAAACCAGATGGAGTATTGAGGCTATCATTTTCCCCCTGACTGTCTGAATAAATAGATTTGCTTGTGTTCTATTAATGAGGTTCATATGGGTTACCATGCATCATATTTCTGCCACTCCGACGATGGTTTATTAGCAGCCACTGCATTTTGGATCTCATTTCAACAGCTAAATGTATTCAGTGGGTGGTGATGTATTAAGTATCTTTTCACGGACAATATTCCAATCTGGTTGCATAATATCAGAACATTTGTACACATCTAAACGTTTACTATGCATGTCTGTCGCATGCTCATGCATGTATTTGTATATTTTTCCGATGTTCCGGACACTCTAGTACTTAGGGGATGACTCCACTGTAACCTATGCCGGACTGCATCAAAAAGGAGGGTTAAAATTCCATGTCAGTGATTGATCTATTGATCGACCTGTAACCTGTTTTGCCTTGCTGCTTTAAGCCAGGTGTCAGCACGTGTGTGTAAAGTCCTGCAAACACCTGCCCATACACAGAAATCATTTGCCCACTCTTATCTTAATCCCATTCAATTGTTTTTGTTTATAAAGCTTCTCCTTTTGTTTAGGACAGTCAGTCTGCGCCCTGCCAAGCTTTTCAGTATGAGAAAGACAGATAGTGATGGAATCTGTCCAGGGTCGTGACCTTTGAGGTGTGACTGTAGCACTGCTGTCACGGTACAGCCTTCCCCATAGCCTCCCTTGTCCCTGCAACCCTAACCTAATGATTTCCAATGGCCACCAAGAAAATCATTCAATCACTCAGACTGCTGTCCAATTCTCCTTTTCTCTTCTGCGTCAGCTAGTAAGGAAATACCAAGACTGGAAATGTCATTGTTGTTGTGGGTTTGTTTGTTTGTTTCTCAAATGGTTGAGGGTAATAGGAGGGAATGGCTCCATTTTGGTAGTTGTTTTCCCCTCTTTTTTCGCTCTCTCTGGGCTTGTTGTTTGTTGGTTTACTTGACAAAGGCTCGCCCTATCTCTGAATAAGAAACACGTATTTTGCATTACAATCGCAAACACGATTTATTTGTTAATGTGTAATGCAGGGCATTGTGAATAAATTAAAAACAACGACAACACTGGCAAACAAAAGGGAAACATGAACTCCATTTAAATGTGATTCTGTGCTCTTTAATGTATGGCTTAATAAGAATTTGCAGGCCACAGGCGAAAAAGCTTTAACAACTCCATAATTGGAATCCAAACACGTACAAATTGCCAGTGCTGCATTGCATACCAAGTGCAAAAGTCTGAGGGGGGAGCATGATGAAACAGTTTGAAACACAACAAAAAGCCACTGTAATCGGAGCCTGCTGACACAGCAATGGGGGAAGCCTTCCCATTGTGAGACGATGATCCTCTGCATCATCTGATAGAATCCTAAAACAGCCTTATCTCACACATTGATTTCAGCTCCAAAGAGAAGAAATGCATCCTCTTTGCTCCCTTTCCCCCCCGCTTAGTCAATGCCAACTCTACTCCTCTCGTATCCTATTTTCTAATGATATATTTTTGAGTGTGCGCCCGCCATGTGTACTGGGTAATAGGACTGAGTCTATCCATCTCCACGGTGTTCAATTGGCAAGTAATTAAAGAGTGCTACATGGAAGAGAGAGAGTGAGTGGGTGAGAAAGAGAGACAACGAGAAAGAGAGTGGCCAAGGATACTGTATAGCTGCGGTGACAGCAGCCATTTACATTCACTGTGGTCCAGGCTCTCAATCTCCAAACTGTGGGTCTGTGTTATTTTTTTCTTCTTTGTTTTAAGTTTAAGGGTCCTTAAAAATCATATATCAATACAGTTGTGTTTTAGGACTTCAGCACTGCAGGTTTAAATGATACAATGTAAAAGTAAAATGTTTGCACAGAGATTCAGTAATTAATTTTCTGAGGTGTTTCTATCATGCAGAATACTTTTTTCTACAGCTATGAGCAGATGGGACAACATTACATTCAAATCAAGATATTACATTTCACTGTGCTAGCCCTCTTTCTTACACACAAAGAACCAAACCACTGATTAAACACATGCCTCAATCACCTCTGTTTATTCCCCAAACAGAATGTCAATAGTGGAGAACTGTGCAATAATCTTACAAACATGTCCAGCAAATATTGTTAAGACATGGTCACGACGGGTATGAAAATGAAACTCAGCTCCTAGAGAAAAATCATTATCCTGGAATAGATACATATCCAACACTACCATTCAGACTCTTACTTTTCTCCATGGAGCACTACACTTCTAAACTGGTAATGACGAAGGGGAAAGTGCTTTTTGGACGCACTACGATAACAACATTACTACATTTAGCACATTCTTACCATTCACTTAGTCAAAACATAAGAAAGCTCCCATTATCCGCATAAATCAACCCAGTTAACTATTGTCTATACGCAGAGGTGCCCAGTACGTCGACCGCGGGCGACCGGTCGACCGCGGGGGCAATGCTGGTAGATCGCGAGTCATTCATAAAAAAAAAATCCTGTTCCGTTAAAATAGACAAAACAGGTTTTGATCCCTCCTCCCTTGGCCTCCCTGCCACTTAATTCAGGAGTTTACTTGATTGACAGAAAAAGCGACCTATCGCTTTCCAGTCTGTTAACCCAAGAATGCAAAGCGATACAAAATCAGTCAAGTGCCGGGAAAACTCAAATTAAGTTAAAGAGACAAACAAGAGACAAACAACAAATGAGTGCGGGACCGAGCAAGAAGCTAAAGACAAACCACTTCCACCCAGAATGGGAGGAAGAATATTTGTTTTGTGATGTCACATTCAAAGGTTATTTGCCTTATTTGTAAAGCAAGCGTCGCTCTGCCAAAGAAAGGTAACGTGGAGAGGCATTATCGGAGTGTTCACAAGGCATATGACAGCGACTTCCCTCCGAGTAGCGAGTTGAGAAAGAGAAAGGTCATGTATTATTGCTACACAAATATTATCTCGCAATCTTAGTGTCGCCAACTCGTTTCTAACATGCAAAAAGACAAACAAATGTCGGTGTATTTTCGATCTTTCTAATCGAGACGGGATCTCTCTCCCCCGTCTTTGCGCGAGGGGGCGGGGCAGTTTACACACACGCGGCTGCTACAAGCAGCAACACACGGAGGAGATGGCGGAGAGAAGCGCTCCAAGGTGTGGTTAAATGTTACCCGTCTTGAGGTGGACAATGCTCCTTGCCAAGAGTGTTTAGCATGTAAGGGCGGTAACACGAGCAATGTGTCTAAACATTTAGCAAAAGTGCACCACATCCAGACGGAGGAATGCACCGGGTTCGACTGTCTTTCTAGCAGCTCTGTAGCCCCATCCACGAGTAACGTTTCCACGTCAGGTGTTATGTATGCTAGCAGCAACACACGGAGTTAACTACATTATACAAACATGGGTTAATGATTAGAGGAAACTGAGTTACTCTTTATTTTGTTAAAGTTTCAGCTATTCTGTTCACAGTTCTGTCATCAGATTATTTAATACGATTTGTTAAAACATTGTTGTTTCTTTTGATGTGAAATATTATTTATTTTATTTAAATAAAAAGCAATGTTAGTTTTGTTCACAATTTGTTAATTTAATAATATATGTATTTTTGAATCAAGTATTCATCTTTATTGTCTTCATTGTTAGTTTCCACATGCCTAAAACAACCTCAAGCTAAATCTAAAAGTTGATGGCTAAACAAGAGGGTTTGAGAAATTGTGCAAGGCATACAGTAATAGTCTGAATAGTCGATTAGTCGTTTCATTAATCGATTATCAAATGAGTCGTTTGTTGCAGCCCTATTATCCCATGTATAAATAAAACGTGTTATTCAGCAACCCTTGCCATTTGGGATTTTATTTTTGGTTGGTAGACCTCGGTGAGCTGGTCATTTCAAAAGTAGCTCACCAGCCCAAAAAGTGTGGGCACCCCTGGTCTATAGGATATAAAGTAAAAGTCAATTATCTTGAAACATTTCAAAACTAATTATTAACGCTCACAATAAACTACAATATCTACAGTACATACACATTTCACACATGTTGTCTTGTCACCAGTTCAAACCTAGCAATAGGACATTTAATATCAGGCTAGGCCAATTAAACTTGTATCAATTTATAATCACCAGGCTAGCACAAAGATATCTTTGACAACACTTCCATGTTTACCAGCTAACCTTGCCGAAGCAATTGTACAAACATTGAAGTTGCATAATATGCTCAAGCGTTGTATTAACTA